AAAATGCCAAACTTGGGGGTGGAGGGGGGTACTAGTTAACGAAGGGGGGGGGGGAAATCTATGTGAACAGGTTTGCAATAAATTTTTATAAAGCTAAAGTGTCAGGATGGACTTTAAATGAAAACACTCTTCTGAAAAGGACACTGTCTGAAGACAAGCCACAGAATGGGGGATAATTTTGTCACACGTACGTCTGAAAAAGGACTGGCATCCAAACACAGTTACCTGGTCAAAATTAATTAGCTGAGTTTCAAGCAGGACAATGCCCTTCAGTAGGATACCTAACACCAAAGCAGCTAACAGAGATGAAACCCCTTATGAAAAGGACCTTTAGCATATTGCAAGGAAACTGAGCTGAATGAGATGTCACTGCACCCAACAGAGCAGCCAGAACCAGACAGCACGTAATGCTGGGGAGAACACCAGCTCCAGGACTCACTCACTGCCAGCGGGAATGCAAAACAGAATGGTCAGAGAACCTGCATTTCTAAGATGCCCCCCAGAAGCAGCTGGTTCCAAGGGACACTTTGAAAATTACCAGTATAAAGTAAAATCCTCTTCAGGGTTGGGGACTAGCTCAGTGAGTAAAGCCTCTGCCTTTGAACAGTCTGGCAGTTTGTGTAGCAAAGAGCTGTGCAAGGCTTACCATAGGACCCAGCCACAGCAGCCCAGGAGAGAGCCTAGGGCAGTGGTTCTGATGCTGTCAATCTGTGACATTGCACAATATGGCACGGGACACAGCAGGAATGGCAATGGAAGACTGTTAACAAGGTATGGGTTCATTCACCTATCTTAAGTGTGTCACACTAATGTAAAACACTATGGGAAAGGAGGCCTCTCCATTGTCTGGTACATTTTCCTACAATCCGACGAAAGTCTGTAAGTGCACATGAAGTAAACTGGTCCTTTTGTAGACTTGATACTACAGTTCTAAGTAAAAACTGTCCTGAGGATCAGCCTTCTTTTGGCAAAAAAAAAAAAAAAACAAATAAAATGTTTTTGATAAACAAAGACATACTAAAATTCTTTAAACAGATTGATTTCAAACACCATCTCCTTTGCCCACTGACAGTATGCTCTTGGGCAGATTTGGTAAAGTCCAAGTTTCTTGCCATTTAAAATAGAGATACTCCCAACTTTCTAACAGGTTAGGTGAACTGTTGGATGAGCATAGGTGAAGGACCAAAGGATGTCCACTGTAGCTAAACAGTATTCTTCCTTTCTGCAAAGTTCTAATTCTGCTGTCCTCCACACTCAAGGACCCAAGGCTTCAGGGGTTTACTGCACATGTGCAGTCTTGTCCTGATGCTCCTAAGTATGAACAGTGTATCAGCTAATCTAGAGATGACCTTTAACACACGGGAAGATGTGGGTGGATACACGCACACTTCATCAGTTAATGAAAGGCACTTGAGCATCTGTGGATCTGGAGACCAGTAAGTACCGCATGTCTTCCTAGAGGTCACTTTTGTATTCTGGAGAAGAACTATTCTAACTGGCAACTATAAATACGGGTAAGCTGCAGCGCTGCTTCTCTGTGGCTTATCTGTGCTCTAGTTCAATACACAGCACAGGACTGTATTTGCATGAGAGCCCAGGCTTCCACATCCCCTTCTTCACCATCTTCAGTGATTTGGTCCATTTCCCAAACTGTTCCAATGAACATTACTTCTCATTTCTAATTCTGTTACTGAACCCAAGTTCATCATCTTCTCAATGCCAGTGACATAGCAATAGTTTGGCTCCAAAAGGCCCGATTACCATTAAATCTGCAAGAACACCCTGAAAAGTAACATTTTATATTATACAGATCACTTAATACATAATTCAGTTATTTATGTCAGAACTAAGCAAGCAAACAAAAAACACCTTAAATGGAGGTTATATTTTTTATCAGATTTTCCAAGGTCTTAGCTATTAGCTTTCTTCTTTTACTAAATTATGGACCTTATACATATACAGTCTTTGACTATTGACCTGGTTATTATAAAAAATAATGTCTTTGTGCACCACGATATACATTATCTGCTTAGGACAATCTAGGCTAATGAAATTAAGTATCCGGGATAAATGCATCAAGACAAAATGATAGGAGGATCCCATGGACAAGCAAGGTCAGGTTTAATTGCCAGACACATCTATAGTGTGCTGGGTCAATGTTACAAACTAACAATGAAAAAATGAAACATGTCCTGAAGACAAGCTTCATGACTAGGGTACAGGGGTGTTAATATGGTAGAAAGGGGGACTTAGGACCGACAGGGGAACTACTAGGCATCTTAAAGTCTGCCTTGTATGAAAAGGGTCAAACTTGTTTTGTCATCTACAAGTCGGGCCAGTAAGGCCTGGTAATATGATACCTCTGTCCCAGCTGTAGCTGAGTCTTTCACACATTCATTATTGATGAATGGTATAGAATTAGCAATGCTACACTGTTTCTATGTATCAATCAAGATACATGTGAAGGGATAATAAATTGGCTAATTTGAAGGTCAAGTTTACAAGGACACAGGAGCAAATTCTGGGTCAAGTTCTTTCCAGAGTGATTCCTAACTCAGAACGAGCTATCTCATGAAATGGTGACTGATTTACATCAGCAATTATTATTCTCTTTACACTAAGAGAATAAGAAATCCTTTAAGCGGGGGCTTTTATGAAAATAGCTCAAATGTGGATGTTAAGACCATGTTGTTTTCTGCAGAGCCCTCCTGAGTCAATGACTCTCACTGGTGACCTTAAGAAAAACTTCTAACCTGTTTCCCCATCTCATCCAGTCAAGAATTAATTTCTCTAGGATATACCAAGTGCTGTACTAAAATTCAAATTTTTTGAGCCTATTTTACTGTCCTTAAGGAATATAATAGTATAACTTTCTCCTTTTATATACTATATATTATTTATCTTGGAAATATAGGATTCCCAAGTTACTTTAAGTGAGTATCTGTAAAATTCCTTAATTTATCAAACCAAAATAAAGATTCAGTATTTTTCTGAATCCCAAGAATGAAGCAACAGAAACAGGAAGACTCAGGCAAAGTGAAGCCAGAACCCTGAAACTTCCATGTCAGGTCCTCACAGGATGCAAGACAAGACATTAAAGGCCAGGCACTGTGAAACACACCTGTCACATACTCAGGAGGCTGAGGCAGGAGGATCACAAGTTGAGGACAGCCTGTGTTACACAGGAAAACTGTGTCTCAAATAAAATCCACATGAATATGGATCATTAACAACTAAGAGAGAAAAGGCAGAAACTGCCTCCGCACCTTATAACATTGGAGGTTACCTGTACATAAAAAAGGCCACAATGTCTATGGATATATCTCTAAATAAACCCCAAACATGTAAAGCCCAATTTGTGGCTTGTCTATTCTGTACTCTTGGGAAACGTTTCTAGGAAAAACTGCTTTCCTACTTCTTTACCTGTCTGCAGAGCAGCCAACTTTAGGGTTTATGTAGCCAGCAGTCACTGCACTGACCGCATTCATAATGTTCCTCTACCTGCACCATGCCTTACCTCTTGTGCAGAGAATCCCTTTGGTCAGAATTTCTGAAAACTCCAATGCACACTTTCAAAGGCCTGGAAAACTTTTACTATAACAATCAAATTTGCCTTAGACATATATACTAGTGAAAAAACTCCAGGGCACCTGTGTGATAACTTTGAAACATGAATTTTTCACATTTGGAACCCAATTAATATGCAATCTTCTTTACAAGTAACAAAAATAACTAAATGAAAAAAGACGCTGATTGGGACATTTGAGCATGGAAGCTCTGCTCAACAAAGCAAGGAAAATAGAGATGCATGCATGTTTGCAGCTAAGTTTGCAGTTAAGGTCAGTAATTCACAGTCACTGGCATGTGACTTTTCATAGGATAGAGGCTCTCAAAGATCCACCCCCTCCAAAAATGAAACAAAACAAAAAACCCAATCTTTATTTCGTCGGGGGGGGGAATCAAAGCATGTTCATACTACAGCTAAATTTGTCAGTGGTGGTGAAGCCGTAGCCCGTGGCTGACTCCTGAAGATAATGGTCCAACAACCACATTTCCACTTTGCAATGCTTTATTTGAAGGGTAATGGTAGCATAGGAAAAACTCATGCTAAAGAAGCATGTAAAACTCTCATTTCACCACTATCTTTGCAATAGTTTTGAAAATTCTGATGCATATAAAAAGGCTTGTGTAGAGGAATCACAGCCTTCCACTCAAACACAACTGTCAATCTTTTCAACAATTTAATTCTAACATTAGGAACTTTGCACTTTAGTAGAAATTTTATCTCATCTTTTCCAAACTTACCAGATGAACAAAACCAAAAAGTCTTGGCTTCATTTCCCCTGCCCCAATGTAGTAGCTATCTCAAATTAAAATTTTCATTTATAACCCTCATTTTGTTCAGAGTATCATTTCCTTAGGAGGTCTGATCAAATTCCCAGGTTGTCAAGCCTAGGACTCCATCTCATGTAATTTTAAAGTACAGGAGTCCACTTTCTGAACTTCAAATCCAAAAGTCAACCTCGCTCCTCTAACAGACCCTGCACTCTCAAGAAGGGGTAATTTCTCTAATAGCCAGCTTTAGGTGAGTGAATGTAGGTCGTGAAGACAAGAACCATCAACATTGTCTGGGTAAGGTAAGACTCTGAAGTCAGGACCTATTATTTGTTCAAGCTGAACAAAAAACAGAAAACACCTTTCTTGGGAACGATTCATCACTTGGGTTGTTCTCCAATTGGCCTTCATTTTCAAATGGCTTCTGCTTTGAGAGCAGAGGGACTTTTTATGTATGCAATTTGAATAAATTACTCTTGTTATTTACCATATAGACGCCAGAATTTTAACAATCAGAGAAAGTCTTTTCTCAAAAAAAATTAGACAGAAGACAATATAAATCAGAAATACTTAGCAAAAGACACATTAAATTAGACTTAAAAGTATGGTTGCAATTTTCACTTTCTATTCCTGAAATAAAAATCAGTCATTTATCAGTAAGTGCATTTTTCCATGGAGAAAATATTTATTAGTTTTCAAATGATCACATAATACAAATATTACACAATTAATCATTCTAGAAAATAACTTATATTCATAAAATAAACACGTAAATGATAAAGGATTGCATATTGTGACACGAAATTGTTCTTTTAAAATCTGAAAGGAAAATGCATCAAAATTAAAAGTTTAAACAAATCAGTACACAGTAATATACAAAAAGTTTCACTTTGAAATAGCTTCCAGTGCATGAGGTAATGGAAATGCACTGGCATTTCTTTTGCATACTTTAAGAACAGAGCTGAAATTAATTAAAGCTTGAGATTCCAAGCTTAAATCTCTCTCTGTCTTCAGTGCTGAGACAAAAGGCTAGTGATCTCAGGCCATAAAATGGTTTCTACAATCATTTAAAGAATGAAGCTCAATTTCTAGGCAAATCTCACTTTCAGTTCCCTGAGTTCTTACTAAAATGTTAGGGAATTTGGTTTTTTGTTTATATGTATTCATGAAGGATCTTATTAAGTCAGGAATACAAAACTGTAATCATTCATGGGATTTCAGAGTTCTGTGGGGAAATTTTCTGTTCAAAATTATCTTTAAAATTTACTTTTAAACATTGTACTTTAGAAAAATGTTTATATTTATAAGAAAAAATAGTTCTTATAGCCAAGAGAGTCTAAAAGCAGATTATATTTTAGCAAATGTAGCTTTTACACTTTGATCGCCTAATATTTCAGTTGTTATTGTTATACAATTTCTCTTCTTAAAACTTATTCCAAATTAAAAGGAGCTGGCAGCATCAGCTGACTTACAGTTTTCCTTAACAGCTTTGACTGGCTTCTAGAGAGTTACTAGATAACCAAAGAAACAATTGTTTGGTAGCTCCTCTCAAGCAGTGATCTGGATAACTACATTCATTCACACCTGCAGGTTCAGTGACTCTTTGGATTATCACCACTCCATACCAACTGCTCTGCGTCATTCAAGTGTAGTATGCCTAGTGCAGAGGAAACCCTAACAGGCATTTACTACTTAGGAACACAGACCAGACTCTGCTGGTTGCCGAGATAGCTCTACAACTTTGTAAATTTGATAAATTACAGTAAGAATAAGGATCAGGACCAGCCAGGGATGAGCTAAGAGTACATCGAACATTAACAGACTCTTGAAGAGTTGGGTTTACCCTTTATTTGCTAGTCCCCTTTAGCACTGGGTAAGGGAAGAGGGAGTAGAGGGGGTTATCAAACTTTCTGTGTATTTATGCTATGTTTTAAAGTGGGGGATGCATACTTGATTAAAATGATTTTCAGTCCCACAAATCCTGTAAGTGAACAGATACAGAGAGCTGCTTTGAAAGACAGGACTCTCAAGCTTCCTCTATTTCAGTCTTCAGAATAAGAAGGATTTTCAAGGCCATATGAAACTCCAATATGAAAAGATTACTTCATTATTTGAGCCTTTCCATTTCAGACCAAAAATAACCCAGAATAAATCTTAAAACGACTGTGAGAAACAAGATCAGGTGGCTGGCTCATCCTTGTGTCTTCTAGACATACTGCATGGATCCATTCACCACTGCCTTCCAAACTGCAGGTGCTGGCATGTGTGACACACACATCGTCCATGTGGGCTCTGCTAGAGGAGTTCCTTTTGCTGAAGAGGGATCATGTTTTACCAGTTGAAAGAAATCTGGGCAATTAGAGAACACATAAACCGGTCTCCCATTATCAAGATACCTGGAGTCACAGAAGGAAGCCACCAAGGAAACAATGAAAACTTGCCAAAGCACCAACTTCACATTCTACCCACTGTAGATGTAAGAACTGCCTGGACTCAGACCCTACCCTTGGCATCAAAGAAACTAACAAAGAACCATCTTAATGCTCTAGGAAAAATCTAGTCATTCCTAGGGACTAGAAAACTACTTTTGAGTATATTGAATGTAACTGTCAGGGACATTAAATCCTGAAATTTATACTCATTCATATATATTTTATTAAAGGATGAAACCTACTTTTGACAGTAAAGCCACAACAGTACTATCATTCCATCTCCTAAGAGACTTGAGTGTGAAGGCCTAACATTTAGTAGGAAAAGACCAAAGAGTCCTCACTAACAGGGCAGGGTGACAACTGGACATTCAACTATATAAATTAAGAGATCTCAGATGTCCAGCTCACCCAAGGAAGAAGCGCAGGACTCTATAAGAACTCTATCCAGTTCACTGTTACAATAAAGGCCAAAGTGGGGAATTACTGCCTTTCTTAAATTTCTGTGAACAACACAGGCATAGACCAAATCATGTGTGTGTGCCCCAGATTAGGTACTGCTTTAATTATCTGGAGAGAAAATTCAATAAATTTTATTTTTGGTTTTTTTTTTTTTTTGAATGGGCACTACATAGTATTCTCAGAAAAAACAGAGATTGCAGTCCCACCTGGTTCTTGTAAGAAGCCAAGGAGATTACCAACTGACTAAAATGGGCAACAGAAGGACACTCCACTCTATAAATAAACCCAAGTAAAGAATGGAAAGCACCCACTTGTTTATTATCCTCTCCCACTCTCTCCAGAAGCTGGGCATTCTGTCTCCAAGGGTTCAGTGGAGAAAGTGGACCCTGGCGTCAAAAGCTCTCCGTGGTCTTGTATCTGTGGCTCTAGGATCACTCCTTGCACCTCTGGTAGGAGAGAAGCACTGAAATAGAGCTGAATATAGATTTAAGAAAAAATTCTTATTAAAAAATTACACACTCTGGTCATTTGAGTTTGTAATAGCTTATCCTCAGGACAAAAAAAGAGCTATCTTGGGACAAACTTTCCTGAGTACATCTTACTTTGAATTCTAGAAGTCTGTTACCACAAATGATTAATTCTTTAGTTGCTATTAAGAAGGGACCTGTACTGATCTAAGCCATAACATACTCTGTGACAAACCACTCAACCTCAAATAGAAGATTGAAGCAAAAAAACATTATGATGGGAAACAAGATCATAGTCGTCTTTAAGGGACAGGGAGAAGGCATTCAATCAACCTCAGATACATCGAAAGAGCCAGTTAATTCTTCCATCAAAGAAAAGAAGACGGATTGGAAAGCAGAAACAGAATAACTGTAGTAACAGAATACTACACTTCAGGAATACCTACAAAGCTCAATTTAATCGTTTAAATTCCAGTAATTTGGAGAGAATTGTTCCACACTATAGGCCAATATTATGGCAAAAAAAAGAGGTTAAAATCTGAGTTTTACCAAAGCTCTGATTTCTGTCAATGAAAAAGATTTCTTCTTCATTCACATTTGAACTTGGAGGGCTGGATAACGTTCACAGGTAAAAGATACATTTAAAATTTTTAAATGCATGGTCATTTTGTTTGGAGCCAAGAGGGACCAGGAATAATCATTAGTGACCACAATGTAGAAATTAAAGCATCAAAGCATACCTAACAATAGATGATGCTAAAGATCCTGGAAACCAGCTTTATCGTATATAGGACAGAGGTTCAAAGCACATAGCATCTGAGCAAGGGAAAGCTGAAAGGAGAACCAGAGAGGCAGGCATGTATGTAAAGTCACAGGAATTAACAGTAGTGCCTCGGGGAAAATGATTATCTTTGTGGTACAGTTAAAGCTGAAGACCTCCCACTAACTATAAAAGTGCCGTGTGTCCCTGCTCTCTGATTAGTCAGCCATGGTGTCCTATTTCTGGGACATGTTATATTTTGGGTAAATGAAGGGCAAAAATTCTACAAGTTACTTCCCTCTCACACGACTGGTTATCACAAGGGTTCCTTACCTGTTAGTGGAACGAGGGCTGGGCTCTCTCCTGCTCTCTATAAACCAACAACGGTTATAGTCTCAGCATTAAGGAGGTAGTAACCAACAGTTAGTGTCTACTGCCTTCCTTCCTCCTGGCTCTGGCAGCCAGTTTGGAAACATACCAAAGCTGAAAAGGAATGGTTACTCCATTATCTAACAACATTTACAATGAATTCTAAAACCCTGAAGATGAAGAGAAAGCTGAACCCTTCTATTTAGGAACATATCCAACTCAACACAAATGAGAAATAAAAACAATCTGGCCCAAGAAAAGGAAACCTGTGATGAATTTAACCATCCAACCTACAATTTCTAAAAGTTAAAAGAAATGAAAAAAACTGAAAGTAACAGAGGAGGTGGAGTTGCCACCCAGGAAAGACGTGGGATAAATAATCACAGGCTGCTTCATGAGGCAAAGGGGTAACACTCAGCCCTCACAGTTCCCAAACAGCCCGGGAGTTTTCAGACCAGTGTGTTCTAAAAAGTGCTGTCCTATTACATCCGGGAGGTAGACCAGGTGAGGGGTGCAAGTTAGAACCAAGACCTGAATGTGGACTATCTCAAAGTCAGGCAGTTCTTAGAACTAAAGAACTTAGTTCTTAGAGGCAACAACCACTAGAACAGCTTATCAGAGAGTTGCCTCCTGTCACACCCTTCTACGATGCCAGTAAGAGCTACAGAAACGCTGCAAAACTATGGGACAACGACCCTCAAACTCTAACTGATTTTATTGGCAAGTCCCTTCCTTTTGTGATAATATTTCAGTATAAATTGCTGAGGATTATTTCAAATTCTACACTAATGAAATCCAAGTAAAATTTAACTGCAATCATCACGGTAGGTTTTTTTTTTATCTATTTGGCAATCATAAACAAAGGTTGGGATTTTTCCAAATTTCCCTATTTCCGGCCAATTGTCAAGTAAAAACCAATCGTTAACACACAACTGGGTGAAAACTGGAAAAGATGCAGGGCAATTTTGAACAAACACACATGACAATCTTTTTAAGTTTCGAATAAACTTTTCTCAGCTTAACATTAGGTTAAGTTCACAACTTCAACAGGAATGGTAAGCTAACTTCAACAGGAATGGTAAGCTGACTACCTCCAAACCTTTGATTTATTCTGCACCTTCCAGAATACATGTTAAAAGCACCTTAACCACCACAGAAAAGAAAAGCCTAAAACCTTTACGTTAGGTCAGTATGACTTGGCTCAAGAAATGAGGACATCTGTAAACTTCTCAAAGTCAGATTTCATTCAGAATACTTCTTTATTCTGCCTGTAGCATCAGAACTTAGGCACATTCTTACTCAGCAATGAGTAAACACAGAGACTTTGCTAAATAAAAATCAATCAAGGAACCTGGTATGCTCTGTGCTCCAAGTTAAGTTTGATACAGGATATCTGATATGCGACCCCGGTAAAAGGGTTGGTCGACCCCAAGGGAGTAGTAACCCACAGGTTGAGAACCGCTGCTCTACGTGATGTTTCAAAGAGAAAAAACTAAGTGCTCTATAAGAATAAAATGTAAACACCAGAGAATAAATTTCAAACCAAAGGTAACAAGACTTGCAGTGCTGTGATATGATGTCACCACAAATGGGGTGTGGTCTATCCACCAGCAGGTTAACAGTCATCAGCACTCTCTGTAACTGTCTTACAAAACTGTCATATACAAACCAAAAAGAAGCGCTAAGCATTATTTATACATACTTAGCATTATATGCATTTGCACAGTCAAGAGAAAATTCTGTTGAAATGTCTGTCAAATGAGGATATTTGTGAAATCTGCCCTCGGCACTAAATTATTAAATAATGAGGGATGCATGGCTAATATTAGTTATTTTTAAACAGTGAACTGGGATAAGATAACTGTTGTTGTTGTTTTTAAGCTAGGGCCTCACACAGACCAGGGTGGCCTTGATCTTCCTACCTCTGCCTCCTTAGTGCTAGGACCACACACAGTACTCACCAGTCTAGAAGTGTGATTCTACCTTACAGACTTGTGCCACTGCTGACCTAAATTTAAACCTGCTCACAATGTGTGATTTATGAAATAAGACATTATAACTAAGTTGGTAAACCTGCCTTATCCACTTTCCATCACTGATTCCGAAAGAACTTCTATTTAGAAAATGAACTTCCCACAGATTCCTGTGTCCATTGGACAAACAGTCCTGGTTGGCCGTCAGAAGAAAAGAACATTTTTTGTTTTTTTAACAAAAGCAATATCTTTGTCTCTCCGGCCCCTAGAAGAGTTTGTGGCATTCTGAATAGGTAATTCAGTAAATATTTGCCAAATGAAGCACAATGGTCAAGAAACAGGAAGAAAGCAAGCACTGGGTTTCCTAGCTAACAAACAGGTAAACGATACATAATTCAGCTTTAATTCTAAGGGAAACAACTTTATCCCAAGTATCCGAGTTGAGACAGGAGGTAAGACCACACTGGGCAACACCAAGCACCAAGTCAGTCGTGGCTAAATAGTCATACACCCAATTCAAAAGGAATCATCTCCCAAACAACAGAAACCCCTCGACGTCTAGCAAAATCCCATTATGAATGTATTTTCTCACCCTTTTCAAAGTTATCATTCAAAGTGTTGCTGGGACTGAAGTCACACCACTAGATGTAAATACCAAGTTTTGTTAAAGGAAAACAAGAACTAACCAAATGTGCTTTCACATTCACTAAGACAAAGGATGAAGTAAAATGGGTGAAACCATCCATAACAGAAGATATATTTAAAGCAGTCAACTTACTACAGAATCAAAGGCAAAAAGCAGTAATAAAATATGTTAAGTTCTATCAACCAAGAGTAAAAGGCAATGTCAAAGGAAAAACAAAACACAAAAGTCTTTACATTTGTCAGACTCCTTTAAATGAAAAAGAATTGTTTCCAGGTGGTGGCAGGGCACGCCCCTTAGTCCCAGCACTTAGGGAGCAGAGGCAAAAGGATCTCTGTGACTTCAAGGCCAGCTGGTCTACATAGAGAGTTCCAGGGCAGCTAAGGCTATTGCAGAGAAACCCTGCCTCACCGCCCCCACCCTCCCACCCCGCCCCCCCAAAACAAATAAATTAAAAAAAAAACTGATTGACTCACCCAAGTTAAAGAAATCATGTCTCAAGTTAAATCAACTGCGATTTTTATCACTAGCCTACCTTTTCCCTCTCCAATAGCTCCTACATCTGCTTGTTTTTAGTATAAATTATTGGCTTTGTTCTTAGGATGGTCAGGAGACTTGGAAATATATATTACTTTAAGATCAAGCACTTCTAATAAACTTTTAATCCCAGGATCCTGAATTGTACACTATATGAATACACTCAGAAAAAAAAATGAAACGATAGCAGGTAGTTTGCTTCATTAAGTAATTCATTTACATCAAACGTAGGAGGAAGGGAGGATGGGCCTGGAGCAATGGCTGTGCTTAAGAAGAGTACATAGTTTTCTTGCAGAGGACCTGAGTTCAGCCCCTAACACCTCCATCAGGAGTTTACAATTCCCTTTAACTCCAGCTCCAGGGAACTGAAACTCCTGTGAACTCAGGTAAGTTACTTGCATTCAAATGCACACATTCACATAATTTTAAAAAAATAAATGTTTTCTAAAAAGAAAATGAAGCTAATTTGGAATCCTTTGCACATTCTTGGAAGTCACTGACTTTGTATTATTAGGAAGCAATACCAGACTGTGGTATTTCTAAGAAGAAAAAGAAATCCACTCTTTCCTCAAATTTTGAGTTCAGTTAATACTTTAAAGCCTGAGTTCAGTTTTATGGTAGCCCAGAAGAGTCAAAGCTTCCCTCCATATTTAGTAGCATTATCTTCACAAACATCTTCCATGATAAATTCTTCACCTCTTTAAAATCTCTCAGGCCACAAAGGACTTCAATTTTATCCCCCAAATTTGGCATTCTTAAATCACACATGGTGGCAGAGCTTTTCCAAAAGCATGTTCCCAAGCACCTGGCAAATACGTCTTTTGGTATGCTCTCATACAGCAGCAATCACACTTTTATTTCTAATATAAATGTGTACTTACAAACAGCAGGCCAGAACAAGCCAACTATTATGGTGGGATAATAAGCATAGACAGAAATGGGCTCAAAGAGATATAAAAAGCATTTGGCAAAACCCCTGAGCTCAAATACTGAGCTGAACTCATGGAATCCAGCTGCAGAGAGGGAGGAGTGATGAGCAAAGGGGTCAAGACCAAGCCAGGGAACCCCACAAAGACAGCTGACCTGAACAAGGGGGAAGCTCATGGATCCCAGACTGATAGCTGGGAAACCAGCATAGGACCCCTGAATGTGGGTGTCAGTTAGGAGGCCTGGGCAATCTATGGGGCCTCTGGCAGTGGATCAGTATTTATTCCTAGTATAGCAAAGGACTTTGGGAGCCCATTCCACATAGAGGGATACTCTCTCAGCCTAGACACATGGGGGAGGGCCTAGGGACTGCTCCAAATGATATAACAGACTTTGAAGATCTCCCATGGAAGGCTTCACCCTCCCTAGGGAGCAGAAAGGGGATAGGACAGTGGGCTAGTTGGGGGCGGGGGAGGAGGAGATGGAGAAGGAACTGGGATTGACATGCAAAAGAAGCTTGTTTCTAACTTAAATTTAAAAAAACACCCTGAACTCTAGAACTTTCCCTTTCTCATGTGACAAACTAGTATTACAAAAACACTCATTTTGAAAGTTTATAGAGGACTTCAAAATCCAGTTCAATGAATCTGTGAACCTTCAGATGCCTGATATTGACTCATTATCTTATTAAACCAAACTGATTAGTCCCATTCATTCTATGAGATGGTTTACCATCCCATATGGGGCTGAGAACGGAACAGATGGGCTTCAGGGCACTGTGCCCATCTAAAACAATCTTTACAAAGTTTGAGATCGCTTCATCTGGAAAATGATGCTACTTCGGAGTATTAGGCTGCCACACGACACTGTATTTCTCTGTGTCCTCTTCACTCCCATTAGGAAAAAAGGAAGGCATGTTTTTTTTTGTTTGTTTGTTTTTGGAGGGTTTTTTTTGTTTGTTTGGTTGGTTGGTTTTTCAAGACAGGGTTTCTCTGTATTGTTTTGGAGGCTGTCCTGGAACTGGCTCTGTAGAC